TATACATGACTGTCTACATACCTCTAACAGAGTGTACAACTGTATAAAGGACGGGACTGGGCCCCGTCATACCCATATATATACAAAAGTATCGTACCAAAACTCAATAGCAGCCACGGATCAAATGGAGCACACCAACTCTCGCTGAGCAGGGATCCTAAGATGGGGGACCGTCAGCCTGTCTACCTGCACCTGCCGGCATAAAATGCAGGCCCTCGAGTAATAGGGATATCAGTACGAATAATGTACCGAGTATGTAAGTCATAAAAATTAATATATAACAGACATGAAAGAAACATGGAGTAAAGGACTCAACCTGTAAGTCTGAATAGCTTTGTGAATCATGAAATATTTATAATGTCATGCATATACGTATAAATATCATATCATGCATATGTATGTGCGTACATAACAGCATCAAGCCTGTGAAGGCATCCCATCATATCATCTCAGCCTCTGTGGGCGAAGTCATAAATGTATACCAGCTGATCAGGTGGTGGTGTGTAAGTAACGCCATAACCTTTCCCCATATCCCATATACATATACTATACGTGTATATAACGTCATCTGGTCATGGGTCAATATACATGTATAAATGGATGCAATGCATAATGAAGTAAGTCAATAAGATCTCTCGAAATGTCATGAGACCCATGAACAGACGATATGATAGTAGGACATATGGGGAATCCAGAACCTAGGCAACCCTAGTACTTCTAATAATAGAATTATTTATGAAAGTTGTGTGCTTACATGTTTCGTTGTATTATATGGATCATGCCAAAAAGAAAAGAAGGGATAGCCTTAACATACCTCAAGTCATCAATGCAACTCAACAACAAGCTTATGATAACTAGCGCGCTAACCCTATAACAAAGAAATACATGTACGACTTAGATGGTATTGGTATATTACGTATTTCAAACGATAACTCGATTCTAAAATAAAACGGGCAGTATTTCCCTTGATTTTATTGCTCCCTCAAGACTACTATAGGCGAGATACAAACACAATACAATCAGCAACTCAAAACCAACCTAATTACAATTCGGAACCTTCAATACAATAAAAACCCAAAATATACCATAACACACTCAATCAACAAGTTATCAATTAGCCTGAAACTGCAACGACGAGTGACCAACCTACTACCCTACCACATGTGGCGTTTCTCCACACCCTTTTATCCTTCCAAACTCCATAAATCAGCAGTACAATAGGCCAACACATGTGGACTATAAAACATTCCACTACAAGTGGAAAAAAATCGAACTCACGACTTTCGATCACCGTCCCGTGAGTTCTAACTATTAGAAAATTAATTTATCAACCTTCCTTGATATTTAAACACTTAAATACAGAAATTGAACGTTTCTTAACTATGAAGTACCTTACAAAACTCGAACTACAAAGAAAAAAGAGAGGCGGTATAATGATACTTACGTCGTAGGGATCGTTCTGATGTTATCACTTCTCGATTTCGTACCCGAGATGCTAGTATTCGTTGAACTCCTATTAGAGAGCTCAAGGATAGGTTTTATGGTGTTCTATGGTCGGGCTCTATGTAAAAATAAAGAGAGAGACGAGTTAAGACCTATATATCAACTTTTGAAAAGTCAAAGAGGTGTTAGCTTGGCACCCTCGCATTGGCCCATCTTACGACGCTTATATCTTTTTATCTGGATGTCGTATGAATGAACGGTTAAGTGCTTTGAAAACTAAATTCCAAGACCTTCAATTTGATATATAATATGTCCCATAAATACCTCATATAGTACATGAAATGTATTTTCCAGAAAGCTCAGTTACAAGGCAAATCCTTAGTCGGTTTTTCCGCAACTTAAATCCGATTTTTTCCAAACTTTATATTTTTTATCCAAACATCATATATAGTCATATTATGACTTTAAACTCATTTAAATCATGATTAACAAGTCTCATATTCATTATACGTCACCTTGGGACGCACATGGTGTAACAAAAGTAAGGAAGATGAATGGGAGAATGAGAAAGAGAAAGAAGAAAGAAGGAATGAGGAGAAGAAGAAGTAAAGAGGAGAAAGAAGAGGGAAATGAAAATTTAAAATAATTTGAATGGGTATGATTTTTTAAAAGTTTTAAAAATTTTAATATTTACCCATAACTTTTGTTACTTTTAATCTGACCCTCGAACCCATTTTATTACACATTTTTTGTTAACCAAAAATGTGTCCTAAATTGTTACACAAGATTTCAAAAGTCTTTTTTACCTCATTCCCTGTAGTAGCTCTTTAGGCGCCAGTTGATGCCCCGAATTTGAGTAGTGACCAACACATATAACAACAACAACAACAACTCAGTAATAATGTCACTAGTGGGGTATGAGGAGGATGGAGTGTACGCAGACCTTACCCCTACCCGGAGGGATAGAGAGGTTATTTCCGGGAGTGAGTAGTGACAAACACGTGGCTATAAAATGTGCTCAAAATCCTAGTTTTGTGAAGACCGATCAAAGTTCAATATGCATTTCTTTCAATTTGCAATGTTAGTGTTCTCGTTAGAATGAGAAAAAAAATCAATATGATTGACAACTAAACATGGTCCTTAAAATTCTTGCAAGTTCCAAATTGCCCTCTATGAGGACGACAAAAATTCTTCACTTGTCACTTATTTAGTATTATTAAGTTTAATAGTATATGTAAAGATCTCGTGTACCAATAGTAATATAGATTATTATTACTTTGAATTTGTCACGTTAGATTAGTTTTGTGAAAGCATATATAATTAAATTCTTGATGTAATATATTTCATAATTCATAAGAAATTCGGGGCCATCTCAAATGGAAATAAGTAGGCCAAATCCAGATTACTTATATCAGCTGAATGGACAACAAACAAATTGGTTCCAAACATTTAGAGGGAGATGTCTTGTGAAACATTTAATGTTTGGTTTCGAGTAACTTCTAGAATAATTTGGGGCTAGAAAGAGGATTGAAAATATTTTTTGTACTTTAGTTGCATTGTGGATCAAGCTAAATATTGTTTACGTTAAGTTTTTTTCAAAAATAAAATTGTTGAATTAGAGTACTTCGAGAAATAAAAATTTGTTGGTGTATCAAACTGAGTTTATGTTTGTTTCTAATTTCGAAAACCAGAAGAATTTAATCTCTAAAAACTAATTTAGTTATTTCAGCTAAGTAAGGTCGATTTGTATTTTTGTAATTTTGTTCCAAAAATATTTTGAAACCAAATATAGGCTATTAGTTACTAAACTAATAGCATCTGTACATGGCATTTAATTCTTTATATCTTTTAAGCCGATCTTTTTTGGATAAATGATTTTAGATTTTTAATATCCTTTTGATAAATAATCACATATTATACCGCCATTAAGATCCCACTGCTTGGCAAGTGCCACCACTCCGGCTTACCCTGTTAAACAACGCTATCTTGTTGTCATCTCACACCAATAAATACCCAGAAAACAAAAGGCATAATTGGTCAAAAGATCATCCAAATTAACTATCTTGTTATTTTTCAGGTACAATTTGACTTCTTGTTTTGTTTTGGAGGGCAATTCTTTTTTCTCTGTATTTTATTTTTTCTTAACATAATATCATAAAATACAAACTATATATATATATAAAGAGAGATAGAAAACTAGAAGTTGTGTTGGATTTTTGTCTGCAGTGGAGAACTTCTTGGTTGTTGATAGGGATTAATGATGATAAAATAAAAAATAAAAAAAGAATAATTAATTGTGTTACAACAGAGAATATACAAAAGATGAAAATGATCAAAGAGTACAACTTCCACTATCATTCATTGTATGCTCTTGAGAATAAATTTTGTTGAAACTCACTTTTGCTATTACATAAAATTTAATATTATTCCTAGAGATAAAATACTAGAATAAGAATTATATTTTAATGGTCAATCTTAAGGATGACTTTAAAATTTTCACTGCATGAGTTATCTCAAGATTATGAGTTTACAAATTATTTTTTATCTCTTGTAGGCTACTTAGTAAAGACTGATTTTTTACGATAATAATTCTAACAATTACTATTTACCCATATTTTTATTCTCGTTTGATGACTGCGCTTCTGTGAAGCACGAATATATTTACTAGTTGCTTAATAATACTTAATCTTGAAACTTTTTTGGTAATAACTGTGAAATTATCATTAACAACCAATATTCTAATACACCTAGAGAGCACTTAGGAATATAACCACCTTCTAGGAAGGGTGTTATATCTCGCTAAGCCTCGGACAGTCAAATACTAATTACAAATTCTTATAATCAATCCCTGGCAAGTATTAACTCTTCTCCTATGTTGTATATCTTCTACTCTAATTCTTGTTTCCTTTTGTATCTGTGCTATTACACGATTTGTGTGTATATCAGTGTTCCTAAAGATCTTTCAATTTCGTGTTTGCCAGATCTGATAAATCATGGCTCTCCATACTGCAACAACTATCTCTTTCTTCTTCTGCTTCCAGTGCCTGCTTTTAATCCACTGGATACTTTATTGAATATTCATCTGAGGCAACTTGATCCCCATCCAATTGGACAGTCCTTCTCTTACTGCTCTAGCCCATGTACACTGTGCAAATAGGTACTTCTGAGTCTCCAATTTCCAGTTTACATGTTTGATCCTCTACTGGGATATGCAATCGAGTCATTCTTTCTTTGGTTAGTAACATGTCTTGGTTAGCTAACCAAACACAAAATCTATGTTTAGGTTGCATCACCCTGTTCCACACCAAATTTGCCTCCTGCAATCTTACCTGTAGTCCTAGTAGTGTATTGTAGCTCCTTGTTAATGAGTACTCTCCATTCTCTGGCAGCACATAGTTCCCATTATTATACCATTGTGCCATCACTTCTTTTAATGAATTTAATTTCCAGTACCAGCTACTATCAGTAGGAGGGTTGTGATTCCAAATGTCTCTCTCCTGCTTCATGTATATCCCATGCACCCACTTTACCCACAATACATCTTTCTTTCTTGCTAATTACCAGAGTAGTTTTCCTACAACAGCTATATTCCAATTCTTGCACCCTTTGATGTTCAGCCCACCATACTTCTTAGGAGTACACACTCTGTCCCAAGCTACTAATGTAAGTTTTCTGTGATCTTCAGTACTACCCCAAAGATAATCCCTACATATTTTGTCCATCTCTTTCAAAACACTCTGAGGTAGGATGAATATAGCTCCCCAGAAGTTATATATTGAGAACAATACAACATTTATAATTTGTAACCTCCCTGCATATGATAGGCATCTTGAGTAGGCATTCCTGACCCCATTAGTTATCTTCCCCATTAGTTCATGACATTCCATTTTACTCCACTTTTTGAAAGAGAGGGGCATTCTAAGGTACTTGATAGGAAGGGTCCCTATAGTAAATCCTGTTATGCTAAAATGGCTTATGGCCTCCATCACTCTAGCAATGAATTTTATATCACCTTTACATAAAATCATCAAACCATCTGCAAAGATCAGATGAGTTAACTTGAGATCCTTACACATTGGGTGGTATGTGAAATCTGGAAGCTCACTCATTTTCTTAAGTGTTCTGGACAAGTACTCCATGACTAAGACAAATAGTAATGGGGATATTGGGTCCCTTTGTTTCAGTCCTCTTCTGCCTTCAAAATACCCAACACTTTCTCCATTAACCTTCACTGTAAATTTAGTGGTGGTAACACATGTCATGACTAATTGTATGAAAGTCTCAGGGAACCCGTATCCAGTCAGTGCTTCACCTATGAACTCCCAACTCACCATGTCGTATGCCTTCCTTAAATCTATCTTTATTAAATATCTTGGTGATGTTTTCCTGTTATAGTGTCTCATAAGATCATAGCATATAAGGACATTGTGTACCAAGGATCTCCCTTCCACAAATGCTGCATGATTTGGTGCTACTAGATAGTTCAAGGCTTGTTTCAATCTCTTGCATATTACTTTGGATATATACTTCTACAGGACATTGAAGCAGGATATTGGTCTAAATTGACCGGTATACTGTGGGCTTGGTACTTTAGGTATCAAGGTTATCATTGTTGCATTCAATTGCGCCAGTAGCTTCCCATTGTTTAGAAATTGGAGTACTGCAGTGGTGACATCCTTCCCTAAAATCCTCCATGTCTTTTTGAAAAGTAAATTCCATATCCATCAGGGCCTGGGATCTTGTTGCTGTCAATACTAAATATAGCATCCCTCACATCTTTCCCTGTGTATGGTTGTATCATGTTCATCTGTTTTACTTTTGATAGCACATGCTATTCCTCAGAATTCTTCTTACTGCTCTTGTTCTGTTTACCGCTTTCTTCCCCAATAATTCTTTATAATAGTCTACAAAGATCATGGCTGTCTCTTTTGGTTCTGTGTGTATCACATCATTGCCATCCCTCAATTGTGTAACAGCCTCTTGAAGTTTCTTGTGTTTAATTACTGAGAAAAGAATATCTTGAATTGTCATCTCCAATCCTTATCCATGTTGCTTTGCTTCGTTGCTCTAGGAAGCTTTCTGCTAGGTAGGAAGACCTTCAGAACTTCTGGTATTGTATTTGTAAGACCCCGAAAAATTTTGCTAAGGAATTTAAGGTTCCGTGGTGCCAAGGTAGGCTAATGTATTGTATTTTCGGACTTTTTGGGTTGAACAATGCGTTGGGGAGTTGAATTATTTCGACCTCGTGTCACCCAGCTCCTAGCGCGCCAGACCATGCTATATCCCTAGCAAAGCCTGGTCTGTAGCGTGGTAGACTGTGATATATCTCTCGCGAAGCCTGGTCTGTAGCTCACGAAGCCGAGTCTATAGCACGCTACAGAGTGTGCCTAGCCTGGTCTGTAGCCCGGTCCGGATTTCAGAGGGTCCATTTTTTTCAATTTTATAACCCGGCCCCCATTTCATTTATCTATCCTAAGGGTTCATTTTTGGGGGATTACCTGATATTTTTATAGAGAAATGAGAGTGTTCTAGATAAAGGAAGAATCTCAAGTGCTTTGTTCATCAAGATCTTGTCCAAGCTTTGAAATCCAACAAGTAAATCTCACAAGATCTTCACTCAAGAGGTAAGGTTCTAGCCCTAGTCTTCAATATCGAGTTTGGGATAAAGGATGGGTGATTGATAGTATGATTCTTGGGTATAAGAGTATTATTTATACATGCATGTACTAATAATATTTGTGGGAAGATTGTTGAGCTCAAATATGTAAAGATTGGGCTGTAGAGTGAAGGAAATCTTGTGAAAGAATCTTGTAATCAAATTTGGACATCTAGTGTTTGATAAAATGCTCAAATGAGCTGAAACCATGAATATCTTCATAATTTGTGTTCACTTTTGTTATATCTCAAAATAGATTGGGATTGCTAAAATTTCTGGAATATTGTAGTAATTTTAAGGAAAGCTCAAAGCGAGGTATGTTGGCTAAAATTCTCTCTTAGAATTGAATCCCACGGTATTCATGAAATTTATGTAAGTTCCAAGTTGTTCATTATAAAATTGGCTATTCCGAATAAGTTAGTGTGAAAGATATATGTTCAATATGTACTCCGAATAAGCAAAGTGTCCAGAATTATGTATTCAAAATGTGTTCTGAATGTTCCTATCGCGTTATGTTATCTTTTAGGAATGTGTTCAAGAATGATATGTGTATTGAAATGCTATGTCTTTGAGTCATGTTTCAAATGAAGGTTATGATGCCAAATTGTGTGAGAAAATCTCAATATGCTTAAGACTCTTAATTGCTCATATGTGTACCTAAAGTCTTGATTGGAAATATCTTATTGTTGATAAAATATAAAGATATTTGGAAGTGAAATAAGTGAATTGGGGATATAAAGTGTGGTCAACGTACCAAGAAAGAAAGTTATACTTGTGGCCAATGGTGTCGATGAAATGAAATGATCGATGTGAGAAAGGTTATGAAATGAGCCTTGATTTAAGTGTTTTAAATGACTTAGAAAATAGATTTGCCTAAAAGCTTATGTACTCAAGTCATGCCCAAATGTGATTGTTTTAACTAATGATATGTCTTGTAAATATTCCCAACGTGTTTTGAGCTCTTACATATTCATGAGTTAAAATTGTGTATTGCCCTCTTTGGGGAAAAGTATTTCACGAATAAATTGTGTGTTTATGATTTTAACTTGCGCTTCGATTGCCAATCATTTTACTCCATTTATTGGAAAGAAATCTATTGTGTTTAAAGTCTTCATTTCTAATGGACTTAAAGTTGTGATTTCCGGAATATTCTATATATTGATATTTATGATGATGACCCATGAAAGGAAAGAAATAAAAGTGTGGAATATGAAATACGGACATTATGCCATGAAAGAAGAATCATATGTATGGCCCAAATAGCCAATGAAATAATGATGTTGTAAGTGTTTAAAAGTACCAATGAAGCTATATATGATATGAAAGGTCATGAGGTAAATGAAATATGCATTTATGTTTCCTTTGTATGCAAATAAAAAAATATTTTTCCCTTATTTGGGATTAGATTGATGTAACAAAGTTATTCCCCTTATTTTGTTTGAGATTGATGATAGAAAAGGATGATGTCTCACATGATATGGCCTAGCCGATCGGGTAGTGATCGGATGCCATGCCGCACACATGGTGGTGACTGTGATGAAAATTGTAATTGAATTGTGTTTGTGGTTGATGTCTTCAAATAAGACGGCTTAGCCGATCGGGTCATGATCGGACTCCGTGCTAGATTCACGGTGGTATATTTGCACAAAGATTGTGATTGTACTTGAGATTGTAATTGTGGTTGATGTCTTCAAATAAGACAGCCTAGTCGATCGGGTAGTGAACAGACTCCGTGCTAAATTCACGGTGGTAATGTGAGGTTGGTTATGATGTGTATATTGTGAAAAATGTTATTGGGAATAGTGGTATTGTGAACTGTGGTGAATCGGTACTAAAGATCTTCTAACCAAAAATAATATTATCTTCATATTTCGATTATCATCTTCACTGCCTTATTTTCGTATATTGAAAATTGTTATGTTGTAAGGTGACCTTTGGATATCATTGATTGTTGCTCTTTGTTTACATGGTTGTCCCTCTCTTATATTGGCATTCTATTTTAAAAGAGGACATTTAGTCATACATACTAGTGTTATTCGAGTGTACTAACATCCCTTTTGCCGGGGAAACTGCATCTTTAATGGATACAGGTGGTTCCACAGCAGGTGACATTGATCAGTGATAGCGGTACACTCACTTCCCAGCTGACTTGGTGAGTCCCACTTCATTTCGGGGTCATGTATCTTTTGTTCCTTATGTAATGTGTTTGAGATATAGCCGGGGCCTTGTTGTCGACATTATCATAGTTCTCTGTTGTATCTGTTAGAGGCTCCGTAGACATAGTTTGGGTTGTGTATTGGTGTTGGGAAAGTAAAATTGTCATGATGTATTTGAATCACTTGTTCCACGTCCGCTATGAAAGTGTATGTATTTTGAGACTTAATAATGGAGTAAATAATAGAAATGGAAATTGGGGTTGTTAATGAAATCCCCTCAGTATTTAATTAATAAGATATTTTTTCTCTTTATTCATGGATGAATTTGGGTAGAAGAAAATCTAATAGGCTTGCTTGGCCGGCTTCACTCGGTTGAACGCTGGTCGCGCTCCTCGATTTCGGGGCGTGACAAACTTGGTATCAGAGCCTAAGGTTTAAAGTATCCTAGGATGTCTTGGAGTCGTGTCTAGTGGAGTCCTTCTTATCGGTGTGTTGTCGTTCACATCTATAATGAGGAGGCTACTTGGACATTTAGGAATTTCACACTTCTTTGGTACTCCATATCGTGCGGTAAAGCTCAAAATAGGAAGTTAATTTCCTCGTCATAACTCATTTTCCATATGAGTAACCCACGGGTTCGAGACAGCAAAGAGGTATTGAAAGAGCCAGTTGCTAGGGGAAGTGTCCTTGTTCCTATTAGTGTTATCGCGCCACCGGAATATGTGGTGAGAGTACCTAAGAAATGAAAGAGAATTATTGGCATCAATAAGCCGGAATATTTGATATGAAAGAAGAGCCACTCGGGTTTATGTTGGATGATTCTTGAAATATGTTATGGTTGTGGAAAGAGGGGGCACAAGAAGAACAAATTCCCTAGGTTGGGTACAACTAGCCCGGTCTGCCCGATATGCGGGCGAGAATATTTTTTGTCGTGTTGTGAGTATGCTCAGAAGCGTGTTAGGGGTGGTAGGCTTGGGGAATTCCAAAAGCCCATACAGAGAGCTGGTACAGAGATTGTTAATCCCGTCACGGGGTCCTGGAGGAAGGATAAGAGAGATTCTTATGATTTATGCAAAAGGATAAATATCAGGTCAGTGGAGCGAGTTAGTTTAACGTACCTCCTCCTCGTTTTGAAAAGTATAGGCGATGTCATTCGGGCATATGTCACTATGGTACCAATGTATGTTATGGATGTGGAGTGGAGGGGCATCAATTAAGGTACTACCATGTCAATCTAAAATCACCTAGTAAGTCACTCATTGTTATCTCATTGTGAACACCGCATTATTTTCCTTGTTGTATATGTACATCCATATTGAAGGGGCCTACATAAATATGGTCTTAACCAAAATGTTGAATCACAAAATATTGCATGTACCTACTCTTTGAACGAGACGCAGTATTCGTGAAGCCTCTTTATCATAATTCTCTTATTTACGACCTCTTGAGGAATTGAGTTCTATAATTATGTCCTTGAATTGAGTTATAACTCTAGGATTAATACTTCTCACTTGCTTCCTTC